TGAGTAAGAAGAACTGCAGTGACAGGACTCAGGCTGGCCAGTGACTGTGGAGGAAACCAGTTCTGTTTCCAGGGCTCTTTGTTTTGTTTACATAAATGTCCTTACTCTTTTTTCTGCCTGTCACTCTCTCCCTTCTCTTTTCCCCACATCTTTATTTCATTGTCATTTCGGCCCACTACCCCACTCCATAATCTTCTCTGTCAGTCTCTCAGGCAACCCCTCTTTCACCCCGTGATGAGCCTCTCCTTATGACTGGCTGCTGGGTCTGCCGCTCATATCCTGGCTCACATTAATTGGTCAGATGGACTGAGGTTGTTGCTGTGTCTGCATTGCAGAGTTGCCTCCCTCTCCTGATCTTAGTGGCAGCAGGGAGAGAGAGAGAGAATAGAGGGGAGCAAAGAAGATGGAAAGAGAGCAGAAGGGGGGGAGCAGAGAGGACGAGGATGAAAATGGACGTGGCACTTAGATACTGTGTTCACTGTGCAGATTGACTGCAGAGCCAGTCGAATGCTCCTGCAATAGTGGGATGCTTTTCCCTTCATGGATAGCATTAACAAGACTGCTAGCCATCTGTTCCCCACTGCAATACCTGTTGGTGTGATTGCCAACTGGGTACTTGAAGTGAAATTGGAAATTCTGAACATCTTTAAAGTATCTGAAGCTCCAGGTGAAAAAAAATGGCCATCCTCTCAAGACAGATATTAAACCTATAAGTCCTTCAGTTTTTTCCCCACTCTTTCTCCTTGCTGCACACATACAAGTACATGTATTTGTACAGGTGGGTATTTAGTATTCTGTGTATACGAAGGAGCATGACTTGTGTGCCAGATGCCTCTAACCTGTCTCGTGGGGATATGGGACCATAACTCACGTCTTTGGAGTGCAGGGCGCAGGACTGAAACGTCAGCACTATTCCTGCCAAATGCATGCTCTCTGTAATGACGGCATCTCAGCTGTCCATCGCTCAATTCGTTTCTTCCTTCCACTCTATGTACTCTTTAACAACCAATAATTCCACAAGGACATCAGGTGGGATTGCACCACAGCACTGGACTGACAGAAAAATCACAAACGACAGAAAGATAGACAGAAAAGCAGGAGGCGTTTTGGAGAATATAATGTACAAGAACTGCAGTGTAAGAACACCTTGTCCTTCACTGTCACCTTATGGTTTTTTCTGCTTACACACACACACACACACACACACACATTCATTCATTCATTAGGTCTGCATTATAGAACGCAGTCCAGTTTTACGGGGCAAGATTTCCCCTTAGGCTCACAGTGGGTCAAGGTCCCACAGATGTAGTACAGAGCACAGTGGCAGTTACAGTGGGGATGATTGAAACCTCTGGCTCATCTTAGAGCCAATAGGGGTGAGGGGAAATGTTCTCAGCTGGCAAATGGGACTATATATTCAGCCCATCAAAGTGTCCGCGGTGCCACGAAATGGTCGGCCTTTAGATCAACACAACACGGTTTAAACGTGTTGCAGCAGTAAAACAGAGACCAGATAAAGAGGGCAGATGGGAAAAAGGAAAGAAAAACACGATCATATGAAGGTGCAAGAACTAAAACTACTGTGGGAAACAATGAGAATCTGTTACAGCTGACTGGGTGACTTGACGGTCAACCCTCCGGTCTACTAGACGACAAATGAATGCTGGTTTGCGCTGAATCCGAAGCGAGCAGCAATATATGGTTTATATGTACATAGTAAACTTTAATTTAGGTGAGACCATAATGTTAGACAAGCAGTAACTTAGAAAAAATATAGACAGGCATCAGCTTGGAAACAAAAATATGCATTTTACTGTCTCATTATAAGAGTAACGTGGAAAATTCTCACAGTGACCTGCTCCAAGATGGAAATGTCCACGACACTACGCATCGCCGGTGTCTTTTTTTTTTCCTTTTCTTTACTTCAGTGTGCCAAACCCAAGTGAAGAATGATTTACTGATGCCTGATTAATGAAGCAAAAAAAAAAAAAAAGAGTGGGAGAAACTTTAAAAGTGCCATGAAAACATAATTTAAGTCAGCAGTGCACCTTCCTCACGTACTGTGGTGTTGAAGAACTCACTTATTGCAGTATACTTCTTATAATTCTGCCTTTGACGTAACGCGATGAATGTTTCTTCTTTTTTTCATTGAGATGCCGACTTGTACTGTTGTTAAAATACACTTTTTTCAGCTCTCTTCATGTGACGCTCCTGATGCTGAATGTTAAAAACACTATTTGAGGGTCTGTTTGTAAATTACTTCAACTTAAAGGGACGGTTCACCTCTCGAATGAAATGTATGTATTCTTCCTCTGGTCTGCTTTGCTTTATTTTATTTTATCCATAGTGTGAGTTGCTCCTTTCGAGACATCAGCTGTAGAAGTACTTGTCCGCTCTTGAATATAATGGAAAGAGATGACGATTTCCTTGTGCTTTTCAAAAATAAAAATAAAAACTCAGCAGTTATGTCCCTTTCCACAAATCGTGGTGCAGTTGCTCAAAAAAAAAAAAAACCCGGAAAAACAACAAAGCTTGCTGTAAGCAGTTTGTCATTGGAACTATTTTCTCCGTAACGTTTAATCATTGGTGAAAAGGAGCCTGACGCTTCCTTCTGCATATTGACATATGTGGCTGATGTAGTTTGGTTCCTCCATGAACATCAAGGTTTGTGGGCTTTTTTTTTTTTTTTTTTTTTTTTATCCAAGTAACACTTTTTGTAGAAATATTGCAGCTGAATCTTTCAAATCTAGTGTTTCAGCACTTTGTGCACCACAAGGCAACTGCAATGTGCTTCCATTATATTCAAGAGAAGGCTGACGTTTCTACAGCTGATGTATCTCCAACGCGTTTTAGATCTATAGAAAGCAAGCAGACCGGAAAAAACCCCGATCTTAGGTTTAATACATCACGCCATATACTGTACATATGTAAGCATACATTACATACTCTGTCATGCCCTTTATGATCAACACTATTAATGTTTTCGCTGATGCCGTGACATGAACTGAATAGCAAATATCTAACAATAATAATAATGTTTTATAAGTAGTTCATAAGCAAACCCTCAAATGGACTGAAGTGCATTGAGGGAACACTGTGTAGCTCATCTCCTGATTATGGACGTTTCGTTGTGTAGTCTGTAGTCTGGTGATTGTCTGTCTGTCATCGTCAACCAACTGCCATACTGGAGGATCTTGAAAACCGCTCGTCAGCATCCCGAGTGAATGAATGTAATCACTTCTTTTGTTTGGCACCATTACAATGTGCAGAAATAAGGAAAAGCACAAACTGTGTGGGGGTTTCTTTCCTTTTCTTTCTAAAAGGGAGCTGTTCTGTATAACATTTGTGAATAATGTAAATAACCATCCTGAATGTATTGTGTACCTGTGTGGTTTCAGGGATGGGGGTGTGGAAATTGGGAGGGAGGGGGGGATCCGTGCTCTTCTAAGGCAGCACGGTTGCTGAAGTGCGAGGCTATTTTTTCGGTGACGATACTGTGAATAAGACGTATGTACAGTATTTACGTGACTATTGGCTGAACGCAGACTTCAGCAGTTTCCTTCCTGTCGTTAGAGTAGAGTCGCAGGCCTGACCTCAGTCTGAGCTGAGCCGTCTCATTTGACTGATGCCTGCCAAGTTTTGCAGTCGCTAAGCCACTGCTGATATAATAATCATCAATCTTTGGAGTACTGCTATTAAATGGCATTATATAATTGACTGCTAATGTTGTCGCGTGTGGTTTTGAATGCACTCATTAAAATAAATGCATGTCATTATGCACGTGCCCACGCACACAGTGCACACACAAATGCACAGTCACTAATGCAGCATGATTGCTTCACTGCCGTCTAGAGTGATGTTTATATCATTATCGCAGTTTATTTTCTTTAAATGAGACATATTTGTCTCGAGACTGGCAGCTTTAGGCTTCAGAGCAGACAGATTCAGAGCAGAGGAAGTGGAAAATCTTTCAAGCATGTGCTTTTCTTGCCACTAGAGGGAGCTGGACACTGGCCTGCATTCATGTGCTCCTGGGTTTCACACAGGAAGGAGTGAAGGACACAAGCTCCCATGGGCCCCCTTCTGTTAAGTGCACATTGTCTGTCTGTGCTGCTATACGCCTGAGACAGACTGATGTTTTGATGAGAGGTGTGTAGCAAAGCTGGCAAAGCAAAGCCTTTGTTATCTCCTTTCCTGTTTTGCTATGAACATCACACAGACAGCACGGAAGACATAATGGGTTTTAAAAAAAATACAGATATTTATAGCTTAAGACAAATATAAAACATACATAACACATATTAACTAAGACTTAATACAGCAATTTATTGAGTCAGTCCAAGCCAGATGTTAAAGACAACTGATGTATACCAATGAGTCACTGGGAAATAAACACAGATAAAAAGAAAAAAAAGACAAAAAAAGAAATCCATTCTCTTCCACTTATCCAATTCAGGTTTACAGGGGTTGATGCCATTTACCATATGAGCTACCTGGACAGGCCAACAACCTGTCACAGGCCTAAAAGAGAAACAGACAACACTTATGGGCAATTTAAATCACCATAGACTAGAAGGAAGGAAGCCAGAGTACCCACAGACAACATGCAAACTCCACACAGACAGTTGATTCAAACCCAGGACCTACTTGCTTTGCGTCAACACTACTAATCTTGCTGTGCAACTAATACAAATTTCCATAGCTAACCAGGAATATTTGTGTACTTCATAGACTATAAAATTGCCTCTGCGAAAGTCAATCAGCTGCTCCATTGCTAAGTAACTCAAAGGGAACTAATGTTTTAAAAGTCAAAAAATGTCTTGAGAGAAGCAGCAAGAGACAATTTTAAAATGGTCAAAAAGTAGCAGCGGTATTCCAACTTTCTGTGAAAACCAAATGTATCAAGTTGATTCCTGTGATTCTCACAGTGTACCACAGCTTCTTCACTTTAATTCTCAGAGATTTCAGGTACTTGTCTTCAGCAAATGTCAATCAGAGCAGGTGAAATTTACTAGAAAGCCCCTTCATGCATTGTGGTGCCATCAGTGTGGAGAATGGGATGCCCACTCCCAGCATGCCTACATGTGCAGTAAACGTGAGTTTTACATTAATATTCTTTAAGTCCTTAGATTGGTTTTGTTAAGCATTGGTAGGCATGGTAATCAGCTTTTGCTGTTGCAGACTACAAACAGTTCATGGCAACCAAGGGAACAGTCAGATATATCTAAGCTGTCAGAAAAAATCATCCATACGAGTCACAGATTATTCACTTAAATTATGCATGAGGGATGGATGTTTTTGATAGATTTCTAAAGTATTTGTCTTTTCTTGTTTTTATGACAGGTGGTCTATTAGATTTTCTTAAAAATGTGTGTGGAGATGACAAAATAGCACCTAAATGAAATACATTTAAGTTAGCATACATCTTGTTGTCTGCTATCAGTCACTGAAAAAACATTTACCTAAGTTAAACAGCAGCTCTGACTCATTGTGGTCATTTGAGCTGTATTTTTGCCCATGTGTTCTACATATTTATCAAAGCCTCAGGCTTTAGGATCTTCTTCTAGTTTAACTTTTGACTTCAAATATAACTGAACTTTAACGGTATTTTTGCCTCTTTAAATAACACACTCAAATGCTGCCTTAAGAGTTACGTGCTTTTGAATAAAAGCCTTTCAATAAAAAACAATAGCTGATGGAATCGAAACAGCAATTTGTGCCAGCAATCCATTCAGACCAGAGTAAATACTTGTGCACAGTAGTGCTTTTGCATATCCAGTCTTCCTGTGGCTCGTCAAAGAGGTCAGCAACGAAGGCGATATGGATCGGCGTGTAACAGACGACAAACACAATCATATTGGCTGTGACTATGCCAACAATGTTTTTCTTCTCCTCTGACTTGTCAGCCTCCTTTAAAAACATACGGATGATCCGAGTGGAGCAGAAAACAACGATCAGGAGTGGGATGAGAAAACCTATAAATATCACTGACGTGATACTCCATGTACGATGTGGAATATTTTTACATCGTTCAAAACATGTCCAGAGTTTTTCAGGATAGTTGTCCTTGCGGACTATAATGCATGCTGTTATCACAACTACCCAAATGACCAAACACACTGCAAAGGCTATCTGTTTCTTCCGTCTCCACGATCTGGCACGCAGTGGGAATCTTATACTCAGGTAGCGTTGGACACTGATGGCTGCTGTTGTGAAGATGCTGGCATACATGTTGATATAATGTACGTACATGAGAAAGGTACAAAAGTAAGTTACAGGCAGGCAGGAGAAGGCATCGTAAATCCTGAAGCTTAGGAAAAGGATGAGGGAAAAATCTGCAATGTTCAGGTTCAACATATAGATGTGGGTGTCTGTCCACGAGCGCCGTACGGTAATGAAGGCATACAGAGCAGCAGCATTTATCAGGAAACCCAGAAGAAACAAAGTTGCATAACCCAGACCCTGAAGATAATCCACTGTGCAATTCGTGGAACAGTTGGTGGTAATGTTGCAAACGGTCTCATTTGCGGACATATTGTTCAGTATCTGTGGCCCTGCGTTAGAATCAAACAGAGTAATACGTTAATTACTTGCCTAGATAAGTGAGCAAATCAGTCATAATAACTCTTCAGGGAATATTTTCATGACATATGTACATTAATGTGTACAATGCTGCCTTGGAGTAACTGTTAACTCTGTGCTTTTTAGCACAAAATGTCCTCACGTGTTACTGTATCTACCCTGGAGTTCAGCAAGTGTGGGAAACAGTGAAGTGATTAGAAGAAGTGAAAACGTAGAAGGCACTCCCTTGATTTTGCTTAGAATTGCTACAGTCATGTGCTCTGCATATGTACTCAAAAATATTAACGCAGCAGTTAACAAGTTGCATCATTATTTGAAAACAACTGTCTGGTAAGACTAAATATAAATCCCTTGCAATATAAATTTCAGTGAAATGGTCGTATATAAATAAAATCAGATGTAACGATTATTCAAAATCTTCCCCTCTTTAAACAGTGAAACAAGTGTATAAACTATCAAGCAGGCAATACATAAAAGACAACTATTGCACACCAAGAACTACAGGACTGCCTCACAATATTGTGTTCAACAGAACAAAAAGATGAAATTAAGTCTGCCTTTTCAACTAATCATTTCCAAACATGCAACACGAGCTTCTGCCTTTCTTCTTCATCCCCAAGAGGGAAACTCAATTCTCAGCCAAGTGACATCAGCCAGTAAAGTATAAGCTAAGAAAAACTGTGAAAAACAGAAACTGTAACAAAGTAACGTGTCTGACTTCCTGATAGCGCTGAAATTTGTCAAAACTAGAAGAAAAATCTGATAAACTTTGAGTTCCTGATTAAAGTCAACCATCAGAAAGCAAAACTCACCGGCTGAGATGCACTCTTCTTCATAAAGCTTGCTGAAGTGATTTATCGTACTGCTGCACCAGCATGTTTCCGTGTCAGTAACAAACGCCCGGAATTCAAATCTGCTGTTAGGTTGCCTCATTTCCTTCTTTGTTCATTTCGGTTTATAAATTTCATGAGAAACGTCCAGCAGCATGAGCTATATGGTGGTACACCACATCATGCCGGTTTCATGGCAGGCTAACGGTATCTCTTTTCAGACTACCTGCCACACAGAAAGATGTGTGGTGAGAAAATGAAACTGGTGCAGATTTTTATGACTACACTTTGAATCTGTAGTACTTGCTGTTCGCATGCAATACGAGAAAATGTTTGTAAAGTTCTTACATTTTTAATCAATACATTGCAATCCAAGAAAGATCTAAAACAGGTTGGAACCAAAGAACCAAGTCAGGTCAGTATAGTAACATTTCAAAGACATTTTTAAAAATGTGTAGTTTTGTCCTTGTGCAGGAGTTCTAGTTATGTAGAAGTTTTTCCAGTTTGCTGGTGTGTGTTAACACAAAGCAGTGGATAAAAGACATCGGCACTGATCTTACTTAAGCAATTATTGCTGCTGATCAGTCTGGGCAAAGATGAAGTCCATTATTCCACAGTCTTCTTCTTTCAACTGCTCTCTTTGGGGATCACCGTCGTAGATCATTTGCTTCCGTCTCATCCTATTTCTGCTATAATCCTCTGTCACACCAACCGTCTGCATCTCCTCCCTCATTGTGGTCTTTTGTTCTCCTCCTGCCTGGCTCTTTCTGCTATCCTTCTGTTCTACCCTGGCTTCACTCTCTTCAGGAAGGAAGGAAAGGAATTCAAAATCATCTACCTTAACTACCACTACACCTTGCACTTTCATTGCTACACCTGCCTCCCATCCATCGACACACATATTCTGTCTTGTTTCTACAGGTTTCTCTCCAGAGCATACCTCCACCTTTCCAAGCACTCTTCCATTTGCTGCCTATTCTCACTACAGATAGCAATGTCGTCTGCAAACTTCACAGAGACTTGCCTGACCTCATCTATCAACCCATTCATCGTGATTGCATACAAGAAGAGGCTCAGAGCTGATCCCTGATGTAATGCTACCCCCCTCCTCAGTCACTCCTACTGCAAACCTCACCACTGTCTTCCTGTCATGCATGTTCTGCATCACCTTCACATACTTCTCTGCCACTCCTGTCGTACAGCACCATAGTTCCACCTTTATATGCTTTCTCTACATCTACAGGTCAACTTCTTCTGACCTTCTCCATCAACACTCTTCACACAGACGTTGCATCTGTAGGGCTCCTAGCTTTAACAGCCCCTTTCCATATCTTCATGGTATAGCTCATGAACTTCATCCCTCTGTAGTTCTGTTCTGTAACAACACGCTTAATCATTCCTCAAGCATCCTCTCACTCTACAAGATTGTGTTAAACATCCATCCATCCTTCCATCCTCTTCTGTTTATCTGGGGCCAGGTCGCAGGGGTAGCAGCCTAAGGACCAGCATGCTTTCATCCTCTTCTTGGCTGCCCTCACTTCCTCCTTACTAATCCTCTCCACTTCCTGATTCACTAACTGCCCTCCACCCATCCTCCTCTCTCACTCATTTTCTTTAATCATGAGCTCCTTAAAGTACTCCTTTCATCTTCTCAACTCACTCTCTCTACGTATTAGCACATTTTCATATCTATCCTTAATCACCCTACACTACTGCACGTCCACTCCACCTTAGTCTGTCTGTTTAACTAGCTAATCAACACAACTCCTGTTCTCCACCTTAGTGTTTAGCCTCACATACAGCTCACTATAAGCCTTTTCATTTGCTTTTGTAACCTCTCTTTCTAGCTGTACACCTAGTCATCAAGTCTCATTTTTCCTCTGTCTGGAGGATACACCAAAAACCTTCTTGGCCGTTTTCCTTTCCACTTCAGCTTTCAGAGATTGTCTCAACCCCTCCCTGAACTCTGTGCAACATTCGTCCTACTTCAACTCTACTTCACTTGTTTTCTCTTCTTGATTGATTTTAGAAATCTCTTCTTGATTTCTAAAATCATACATGCTACCATCCAGTGCTACCTAACTCCCCTGACATCTCCTTTCTCTTTCAGGTTGCACTCCCTGGATACGATGTAGTCCACCTTCTGAAATATATCTTCATGGCTATGGCTACTTCCATCCTTTTTTCCTAAAATCCACTACCATCTGTCCTTCTGCATTTCCCTTCTTAACACCACATCTACCAACACCTCCTCAAGACCTCTGTTCGCTTCACCAGTTTGTCCACTGAACTCAAATTGTTCCAATCACTGGTCGCTCTCCCCTGAGAACACTCTATTTCAGTTTATTCCAAAATTCATCTTTGTCTTCTGCCTGACATCCAGGCTGTGGGGTATATGGCCTACAAATATTCAAAATCACCCCTTCAATTTCCAGTTTCAAACTCATGATTCGTTATAAGACTTTCTGCACCTCCACAACACTATTTACATGCTTTTCCTTCAAAATTATCTTTACTCCATTTCTCTCCCTATCTACACTATGGTAGAACACATTGAATCCCCCTCTAATGCTGAGCTCTTGCTCCCCTTTTCACCTTGTCTCCTGCAAAAATGAAAATCTACCTTCATTTTGTGCATTATTTCAGAAAGCTCGCTCTCTTCGCCAGTTATATTCCCTACTTTAAAGTCCCGACACTCTCTTGACTGCAGCGTGAGAAATTAATCACAACTTGAAAACATTTAAAACAGTGTCCAATCTTCCCAGAAGTGGACGTCTGAACAATTTCATCCCAAGGTCAAACTGCTCATTTCTCAAAGAGAACTGTCCAGGCCTCAGTCAGCATGTTAAAAGTTCATGACAGGTGATGATTTGGGCTTGTTTTGCAGCTTTGCTGCAGTTCAATTTTGCAGCAATTGAACTGGTAGTGAAATCCTCTGTATACTGAAGTATTCTAGAGTCAAATGTGAGGCCATCTGTCTGACAGATAAACTGGGTTGTGCAACCTAAAAAATATCCAAAGCACAGCAGCAAATTTAACAAAGAATGCCTGAAAGAGAAGACACTTGGAGTGTTGCAATTACCTGGTAAAAGTCCAGACTTCAACTCTGCCGAAATGCTGTGTCAAGACCTTGAGAAAGCTCTGCATAAACAAATACCCACAAACCTCAATGAACTGTAGCAACATTTTAAAGAAGAGTGATGAAATCATACAGAAAACAGTTAATTCCCATTATTGCTGCTAGTAGTTTTTCTACAAGCTATTGAATCACGGGGTGTAAATTTTCTTTTTCACTTGACAGTAGGTTGTAAAGATAAAATGCACCAGACGAGGCAGCAAATTTCACCAAGCACAAACAGGAAAGCGACGATCCTTGGAAAATATGTGTCAGTGTGTCAGCCCTGATTGTGAAAATGTTTAAGTCATTTTCTGTTGTCAGCAGATGAGCCAGAAACCACCTATGATTTCTCCAAATGCTGTCAAAAGCAGACAGTCACGGCACAACAGCCAAAGACTCCAGGATTCAACATCTGTTTATGAGCATGCACAGATCATTGAAACAGACTGAGAGCTCATCAAGACATCTGCGGGACTTTTTCTACCTTTATTCTGCCTGATGAAACAGCTTCAGGCTCATGAGTTATTTTGTTAACACGTCCTCATCAAAGTGTTTCTATGATGAGGACATGTTTCTGAGGGTGACACTCATGTAAGCCAGACTCCGCACAGTCAATGGGAATTTAACTAGACAGGGCCACAGATTGGTCACAGAATATGTGTGCTTGTGTTTGTGTTTTTGTCACCGTAACCATAATAATGCATGTAATAATCATCATTATAATTCTTTATGCAGCTGTGGTCCCACAGTGAGTTCAAGTTTTAGTGCACAAGTCCAGACAGCGATGGACAGTGAAGTGCTAGTTAGCAACAGGCAACACACGCAAGAGCCAGGATGTTAGTCATTCTGGCTCCCGGCAACATTTTATACAAAACCGTCATGGTGTGAGTGACTGATTCATAATGTGGGTTTTAAGCTTATACTTCCTGTCAATGATTTTTCAGGGACTATGATGACAAAGCACGAAAAACTAGAAAACTAGAACTAGAAGAATGTGAAATTTTTTCCGTTAGACTTGGACTTCCACAAAAAAAAGTTGGAGCAGGCTGAAAGTTCATCCAAGGGAAGGGAATTACTGACGAAAAATACTGAGAGTGATCAACTGATTTTATATGGAGTGACTGAAAATGTAATCTGGAAAGGTTTTTTTTTGACGCGCTTAATGGAAATAATGAGAAAACAGATGACAAAGCAGAGAGGCTCAAAGTGTGAGCTTGTCCTTTTACTAGTTAAAGCTATTTTAGGCCCTGCAGCTTGGTTTCAGGAAAGTTTTGCAGTCGCTTTTAAAAAAAGAGTAATCGGCTCCATCCGTCTGGGTCCTCTGTGAACTAAACTGTGATCCTAGGGGAAAGCCTGAAGGTCAGAATTAAATGAGCATTGACCGTGGGCCTCTTTTTTTTTTAAACAGAGTGGCTTAATTAAGTAAAATACCTGCAAATCAATGTAGTGCATCCAGACGATTTCCCATTATAACACCCTTTAACATTCATAACAAGATGAGGAACTCTATAAAGCGGAGGAAATGTCGGATTAGATGTAGTTTATCAGCAATTACAGTATGCATTTTGCAGTTATTACATTTTTTGGGGGGAGGGGGCAATCTTGTGATTTTATTAAAAGCTACTTTATGCCTTAAAGATATTATTCTTTAGAACAACGGGAGAAATCTAATATTGCACAGGATATGAAGGGGTTTGATATTTCAGATGCTGTCTGTTGTTCACATTAATTCGTTTGAAATCCCTTTAAGGCCTATCCTGTTTTCACAAAGATATTTCCCAGATCTACTTTGATCTGATATATTTTGTGGATATATTTCCTCCACTAGTCTCATTTTGCTTGACGCACACGGGCCTGTCAGTTGATCCGCTCCTACCTGTCTCTCTCGCTCTGACTCCCTG